ATGTGATCTTATAGCTTGAAGGTACAAATACCAGCCTATAGAAAGCCTTACCCTGACTGGGTAGATAGGTTGCATCAGTTTCCAAGGGCTATAAAGTTCCAGATTTTGTTTAAACGGGATGGAAATCAATCAACCATAGAACATATTGTTAGGTTCATAGGGCAATATGGGGAATACACTAATCATGACTATATGAAACTTCGATTATTCCCTAACTCATTAACTGAACCAACAACCAACGACCAGAGAAAAAAGAAAAAAAAAAAAAGGCTACTCAATTCATAGCCAAATTTAAGAGGGCTAGGAATAGATATAAAGCAGTACTCGTAAAGCCTGATTTTGTTAGATTGGCTTAAAATGGTCTAGAGTTCAGGTTTCGAACATTTGATGCAATAGATTTTTAGGGACTTAACCTATAAAGTGGCAAGGTATGAGTCTTTGTTAGAAGAAGAACAAGACATGAACAATTCCTCATATAGAGCCTATTATAGAGATCCTAATATGGAGGTGGATGTTGTTGAAATCGTAGGCAAAGAACCATACACATGTGATGTCTTAATTAACAAAGAAACCACGATAGATCATCAGTTTAAAAAGAAGGAATTCCACAGAAAGTATTCTTTTGATATAACTAAAATTGGTGAAATATTTGATCATTTGCTAGTAGCACAGTTCCTAAAGCTCCTTAAAGGAGTAATTATGCCTCCTTCAAATGAATTAGATGGTACAATGTATTGTAAATGGCATAATATTTGGTCTCATTACACTAAAAACTTACTTTTCAAGACAGGATCCAGGAGCAGATTAAGAAAGACAAGTTGCAATTCCCAAGGCTATGGGGATTGACATAGACCCTTTCCCTAAGGTGCATGAGGTGGAAGCCAATGTTGGAGTTCCATACTTAATTGTCCAAGCTTTGGAGAGAGGGTTACATTTCAGAGAATTGGATGTCCAAATGAATGAAATGAGGCAAGAACTGGCTTCAAAAGAAAAGAAGCTATCTCAAAAGACTAAAGGTAATGGCCCCTTACATGGCCAAAAACTATTTGACTGCTCAATGGCAACATGCACTTTGGAAACTTCAACTGTCCAAAGGAATTGCCCTAAATGCAAAGCAGTTACAAGTGGGTGAATGAAGTATCAGAGAAGGTTAATCCCAAAGACAACACTCCAGGCTTTGTGACTAGAAGGCCTAGAAGTAGGCCACAATAAAGCTATGCCCTATATGAACTAGTTTGTTATTCTTACAGGGCAACTTGGAGCATAGGAATGGGTACAAGAGGCTCAATTAGAGGTAAGACTCGTGGAGATTCAAGAGCAGACTCCCTCTACCAGTCTTACAAAGAGAGAAGATTTGAAAGAAGTCCAGAAGTTGAACTTACTCCAACAAAAGGCAGGTTTATTTCTAGGTTTCAAGAGTCCTTGATTGGTTTGTTATGCAGACCAGGCCTAAAGATATTCAGACTGGGCCAAAAGAAGGTCAGAAACCAAATATGGTTAGGCCACCTCTTGTTGTGCCAACTAGTGGTTTATGTTAAAGGATTCAAAGAGGAAGCAATCATATTTGGTACCTATTCTCTCCAGATCATAAAGGAGAAAGATCCGAACGAAATTCACCAAGTACTAGAAGAAACTTCAAGACTCTATCAAGATAGTCCTAAGAGGTGGGAGTAGTAGAGAGAAAGGAGTGGACAAAGAGCACGCCAAGAACAATCATGCTTAAGAAAAATGAGAACAACTGGCTCGAATTCATGTTGAATTAACAGTCAAGGAGAATACCACTCTAGTAGGCCTATCGAAGGTCTTGATGGAGAATGATTATAAGTTTGAAGGCTCATAAGCCAACCAGATGGCTTAAGAGAGATGGAAAATGGCATGTTCGAAGCTATGAAGGCTAACCAGACCATGCCTGCAGATGTGAAATTAATTACCCCCATGGAAATAGAGGGAGGCCAAAGGTTTGAGAGCAGTTCAGAACCTTTGAGAGGGTCAGAAACACAAAATGAGCCAATCCAAATTCAATTTGGTTCATTACCTGCTATTAACATAAATATGGTTTATGTTTTAGCTCGTAGGTTCAAAGCAGATCCAAACAAAAGAGGAGCTTATCTATTGAGGAATTGGTGGAATCAGATAAGAAAACCTCCCATAAATTGAAATGGTAGAGAAAATAGATTTTGAAGATACAATAGAGATGGAGACCCAGGTGGCTACACCTTATTACCCTTTTGAGTACCTCACTCTAAGCATGACTCAGCATATCAAGCCCTTGTATATCAAGGCCTATTTTGATGGTGTATTAATGAGCAAAGTGTTCGTGGACAATGGAGCAGCAGTCAACTTGTTGCCCAAAGCTTCCTTAAAAAGATTGGGTTTGAAGAACCCAAAACTCATCCCAACTAGCACCTCCATAGCAGGCCCCATAGGGGACAAGTAGATGGCACAAGAGATCCTACCAATCAACCTTAATGTAGGATCTAGAAGTTGTGTAGCAGCTTTTTTCATGGTGGATAGCAAGGCCAAGTATAATGCCTTCTTAGGAAGAGATTGGATACACACTCACAAGTGTGTGTCATCTTCATTGCACCAAAAGACCATAATGGCCTTGGGAGATAAAGAAGTGGAAGAGGTGCAAATAGACCCTCAACCATTCATTGCCCATGCAGATTTTGCAGAGACAAAACTATATGAGCATGGTGTGATGCCCCTTAGTGTGATGGCGACTCAGGATGAAGTTGCAGAGCATGACACTAATGAAGAAGTGACTTATCATAAACAAAGAATCCTAAATAGGTGAGTCAGATGATTGGCTCTGAATAAAAAAACAACACAACAGACCTTACTATTGGCTTCGAATAATATATTAGTTCTAGATATTGAAGCAAGAATCCAGGATGACGAAATCTTCTGGGAAGATTTTGCCTATGAAGATGGTGAAGAAAAACAACCAGAAGTTGAGTTTCTAGAAGTACTAAGGGAGTCTGAAATCATAGAGAGCTTGACAATTAAGACTCAATTATTGAGAAGTATTATTCTGATCCCCCAAACTATAAAAGCCTACAAATGGACTTCCTAAACAATAAGAAGTATCATTTTACCCTCTAAACTATAAAAGCATACAAATATCCTCAAATTATAAAAGGGGGTGTTTGGGAACTTGGGTTGGTTGGCTTTTTTGGCTAAAATAGTTAATAAAGACAAAATAGGCTAAAATAACTAATAAGATAAAATGTCACATTCAAACCATAATCGTTTTACTTATTCTCTTACAACTATCAAATCAACTACAAAGAAAGAAAAAAAAACAAAAAAAAAACAACTATCATCCAAAACACAATTTCTTTAACCATGTTAAAATAGTCAAAAAGTCAACTAAAATAGTCAAGTTCCCAAATGAGCCCAAAATCATACAAATTCAATCATTAATGAAAAGAGTCAAAGTGGAATACGCAAATAGTTTAAGGGATCTATTTATACGTTATTATAGTTTATGGGGTAAATTGATATTTCTTTTTTTAATAGTTTAGTAGCCTATTTGTACCATTTTATAGTTTAGAGGTTAAAGCGATACTTCTTATTAATAATTTAGGGGTCTCTGTGTAAATAACCCTAAAACTACAAGTGTATGTTTGTTTGGCTAGCTAGGAAGTTGGATTGAAGTGCTAATGAGGTGTGTCCCACATTAGCTTGTTTGATAGCTTTATTATTTAGTGGAATTACTACTCCACTTGGACTGTTATTCCCATACCACAGCTGGCTTAGCTTTTCCTTACAAGAGATGGGATTGAAAAATCAATCCCCTCACTAGGAGAGTAAAATACACTTTTGCCCTCAATTGTTGTCCTAATCTAATAGTGTACAAACAAACACTCAATATTTGTTTGGCAGATTATGTTGGATGGGATTATGAGAGCGATGTAATTGAGTGAGTAGATTCATAATGTAGTGGTATTAAGTTGGAAATATAAGATAAAGTGTGTTTGTTTATGTAGTAGTATGGTAATATTAATTTATTGCGATTGAACTTGTGAAATTACATAGTTATCTTTTTTGTTATTGTAAAATCATTAAAACTAATGGACAAAATGGTTTTTTTACCATCAATCCACCCCTCACCCATCTTTGCCAATCCACCATAGTGGTGGACTACTATTCCAATTGGAGTGCTAATCCCTTTACAACTTTTCTGACCAAATGTGACAATCCCAACACGTATAATAATTAGCATGTAATCAACTAAGGAGATTTGAATTTTACTTGTTTATTATTCTGATTTAATTTGGGATTTATGAGAATTATTGTGTCTGATTCGTAAATAGTTTTATTAAGGATTTATTTCGGAATTAGAAGAATTGAACGTCCAAATAGCCTAAGGAGGTGAAATTGATAAGTTGAATCAGTTTAATTTCAAGTATTGGACCATATGAGAGTGTAATTAAATATTCGATTCAATTAGAAAAATTAAGATTTGATTAATTGGGTCAAAATTGAAATAAATGAAGCTAATGTGATTATGAGGATTAGTAATTATAATTATTATGAATTAAATTTATTTTTGAGATGTTCAATTTGAGTATGTAATTTATTGACGGAGATTTTGAGTTTAATATGAAATTGAAGGCCTTAATGATGTGAGAAGCCAAAATTGATAATGGAAATAAGTTTAATTTAATATTTTGAGCCTTTTGAAAATTTAATTAAAAATCTAATTCAGATTGATAAATTTAAATATAATCAATTCGATCTTAATGGAAGTCAAATTAGATTAATTAAATTATGTGGGATCTTTGATTGGTTATAATTAATTTAATTATGTGCTAATCAAGATTAAGTAAGATTAATTGATGTTTGATTAAATTAAAATGTAATTAATATACTAAATTATTCCTAATCAAATCATAATACAAGTGAAGTGTTGGAATCCTCTAGAACCTTGGAGGCAACAAGTACATATGTGTATTTATGTGTTCTGGAGAAGAATTAAAAGAAGAAAAGAAAATCTGAAGGAAAGAAAGAGAGGAGCACCGAGAGAGAGAGAGAGAGAGAGAGAGCTGGACAATGAAGAAAAGGGAAGAAGAAATTGAAGAACTAAGTAGAATAACAAAGGAAGGAAAGGAAACTTAAGAATTTCAGCCAATTAAAGCTTAAGGTACGGAATTTATGTTTAATTTGTGTAGAATCTTCACATAATACTTGAAATTAAGAAAGTCATGAAATCAATTTTATGGAATTTGCAAGGAAATGGGTTTGAAGATGAAAATGAAGGTAGGTTCATGGTTTATGGAAATAAACTTAGAAATTAATTATTTTTTATTTGATTTTGTAGAATCATCTTATAATATTTGAGATCGAGAAGGATTTGAGATTATATTCATGGGATTAGACTGAAATTAGGTTCAATTGTATATAATTTGGATGAATAGAGGAATTGAACTTGAAATTAAGAAAGCTATGGAATTAATCTTATGGATTTTGTATGAAATTGGATTTTGAGTAAGAAGTGAAAGCTTAGATTTTAGAAATAATTTAGCTAAAAGCTGAAATTAAGAAATAATTGGGATCTATATTTACATGCATTATAAATTTTGAAGAATTTGAGTTAATCAATTCCATATTTTGAAGAGAAGGAGGAAAAGTTTTTATAAACATTAAAATTCATGGAAATTTAGAATTAATCTTGAAGATAAATGAGGTTTTGATTTTAAATCCCTAATCCATACATTTAATGTAATTTAAGAGTCTTACTTGATTTAACCATATTTTGGAATATATAGTAAATTAGTTAGTTTATTTGAATTACATACATGCAAGATTTGTTAGGAAAATTGATAAGAAAATGATGAGTTGGAGTAAAGATCTAGTTTATGAAAGTAAAATTAGAAAGTAATTATTTTGGGCTTGATTTTGGAAAGCATGGTTAAATTAAGCTTCATAAATTACATGCAAATATTCTTGTAACAGTTTTATAAGTTTAATTTCATGTTTTGAAAATCAAGAAAAAATATTTGAAATCTTTGCATGAATAAATCACTGATTTAGTAATGATTGATTAAGAAGCCAAGTTAGAAATCGGTCCATTTGGGAAAAGAAAGATTTAATAATGAAAGAATATGTGAAATGAGAACCCGATTCATTTGAATAAAGAAAGAGTAAGTATAGTAGAACTTGAATTACTTAGACAGAAAAAGACAAGAGAAGCCAAGTTAAATCAAGGAAGTGATATTGCGTTTCAATGCGTATATGTTATGTGTTTATGTAGGTCGCTTGCACGAAAAGTATCATCCGGCCAAGCACTGTGAGTAATTTTTTTGTAAAAATATTTTTGTATCTGAATTACTTGGAGAATGACTATATTATTTGATAATTTGGGCCACCTATGTTTTGTTATGAAATGTTTATGAAATGTTGATACGATAAGTTTGTGAGCAAGAACCTTGGAACCGTTAAGTTATACTTTGAAACTCTAAAACGTGCACGATACGATATGTCTCCGAAAATGAGGTTTTGTTAGGAATGAGTGAGTAAGTTATGATAAGCTTTTCAAAAATGGAATTTGTTTAAGAAGGAATGAATTCCTTTTGGAACGATAACTATGATAACAACTTGGGAAATGTCTTTTGATCCCCATTGACTTCTATATAGTATTCAACTCGTCATATACGTTCAGTATAAGCTATTAACTCATTGTGATATAATATATGACGCCGATCTTTTATGATCGTTTCGCATGATTTCGATTGTATCTATCTGTATGATATCTGCCCGTTATAGACGTATTGAATAAGGTCGTCGAAGTGGACGTTTCACATAAGCGCATCCTATATGGACGTTTTGTACCAAGTTGTCCCAAGTGGACATTTTGCATCAGTCGTCCATAAAGACGTTTTGTATAATGTCATCCTATATGGGCGTTTTGTATGAAGTCGTCCTATGTGGGCGTTTTGTCTGAAGCTGCCCAATGAGGGCGTTCCAAATGTTTTGTTCCACTGTGAACGTTCTATTTGGTATTCTAACTAGTTTTGATAAGGCAATTGGGTACTATTAATTGTGGAAGGATTTGATGATCCATATTAGTTATTATATGTTTTCGAAGTAGGCTTTAATTATGTCAAGAACGTTATATTGTTTTGTTTAAGTTATGGATCTCATTTATTTAACCTCTTTACACTGAGATTATTCACTAGGCTCTATCTCACTGTATTATTTATGTATGTAGGTGATCAGGTGCGTGACCAAGCCTAGAACTTCTGCCTAGACTCTGTCTTGTCAACCAACCCATATGCCTCCCGTGGAGGTTTCGGATATGTCAAATGGTTAAAGCCATGTGATTAAAGTTCAAGTTTCGTTCATTCTATATTTAGGGTTAGGTCCCTTTTTGTCTAATCTGTATATATGATGACACAACAATGATGTAATAATATATGTATACAAAAAGTTTAAATATTTTCTGTCTCATGTAAGTCTCCACAGCTCAATGGACGATGCATGTTTGTATTTTGCTTCCACTAGCCCCTAATTTTATGTATCTATTTGAGAGGCCTTCGGTAATCTTAGGATTACTGGCCGGTCATGATGCTAAACTTATAGGGGTGGGTTTGGGTCATGACACCAAACATGCTATGAGTGGAGCCCATCTCACTCATAGTCCAATCCTCCTACTCATGAAGGCAAACAAATATGCTTTTTTATCTTACATCTCCAATCTAATGTCACCACATTGCTAATTCCTCCGCTCAATCCCATCATACTCATAATTTCATCCAACCTACTCGGACAAGCAAACGTGGCCTAAAGGTCATATTTGTTTGGCTCTATAAGTGGGAAGATTGGACTAGCAATCTTGTGGTCCCTACATAGCCTATCTTTGTTTGACAAAAATAGAAGGAGACTAGTAGTCCCATATGATTATCAATACCTCCCTCCACATGGTGCCCAACCTGTCCAAATTATGTTGAGACCTATCCAAGCCCCGAACTCGAGATTGTTTGTCTAAACTCAATCCATATTAAACCCGAGTTGCCCAAGTTGCCCGAATTGTATATGAATTTCAATTTTATTTTTATTTTTGCAATTAAATTATTAATTTATTAAAATTAGACTTTATTTCTATTATTTTAGAAAATTATTAACAACATCAAAATAAATAATTTTTATAATGTAAGAGAGATGTTGCTATGATAGTCTTTACAATTTATGAGAGAATAAAAAATGTAGAATTTTGTATTACTTGTGTATATAATATATATTCAATATGATTTAATAATCAAAATTAATTTAAATATCATGTAATGACTAATAATTTATATGTATATTTAATATTTTTATATATCTATTTATGTATAATTTAGATTTCGAATTGCTCAGATTGTTTGATGTCTTTACCTAAGCTTGCCCAAATTTAATTCGAGAAAATTTTATTTGTATCTTTATGTATTGCCTCGATTTTCAATTACAACCCCAGATTTTGAATAATTTCAATTTTACCCCCAAAGTTTTTGAAATCGTATCAATTTTTCCCTTACCGTCACATTTGAAACGGAATTTTTTTAAAAAAATTACAGTTTGGCCCTAAATTTCAAAAGAAAGATGCAAATCCACCCTCTCCGACCAGCAAACCACCACCACCAACCACCACTTTAAGCCCTTATCTTTCCTTCGTCATAATTTCGTTTCGTCTCATTTTTTCGTTATTGGATTCACCTCACGACCTAGTTTTCGTATCACCTCTCACATGTCCCGTTCTTCCTTTTTTTAAATGCCGTCGAAACTCCAAAAGTGGATAAGAAAAATAAGACTTTCCTTCTCGTTTTTAACTTTTCTTTGAGCCATCTTTCGAACTTCATATCTTTCTCGATTCTTAACGGTTCTACTTCATTCTTTTGTCATTCTCTTCACCTCACTTCCTACTTCGTCCTACACTACCTCGCTTTCTCACTTCTTTGCGTAATGGGCGGTTTTGGTATGCCCAAAGTTGTCCAAAAACTAACTTCGAAAATTTCAAGCATTCATCTTTTGTTTCTTTCTCCTCTATCTTCCTCATTCTTCTTCTTGGTTGTGATGGAGGTGGGTTTGGTGTTGTAAAGTGGTGGTGATGGTAATGTTCATGGAGGCGATAATGAAGTTGGGTGGGTGGTGAATTTTTTCAACTTTTTGTCAAGATGCTTCAATTATGTCAAGATGCTTATTATCTAATGACCATAATCTCTTTGTACCCAATGCTATTTTGTACTGTCAAATAGTTTTGACAAAATAATTGTTAGAACAATCTTCTGTGTAAAATAAATGATGAAACAAATCGAACAAATAAAAATAAATTACTTACCGAATTTATTTTAGCGAACCGAATAAATAATTAAAAGATCAAGTCAAGTGTGTGGCGCTCTATACTTAAGACAGATTCGCCTCGCTACGGTGCTTACAGATAAAAGGCATCTATCTCCCCGGATACAATGATCTTCACAAATTATAGTAGCACTCCAAACAATTTATACGGCGAACAAAAACCTTGTGTTCTATACTCTCTTTAATTTTCCTTAAAAAAAACTAATATGAAGAGAATTTATGCAAAGGAGCAAAACATGACAGCAAAATGAATTTTAAGATTAATTTTCAGATGTCAAAGACTGCTAAAATGGCTGGTATTTATAGGCATACAAAGGTTGTTCGAACAAGTATGTATTTGAACTTGAACAGGTGCAAAACCCTTGAACAGATGCAGTTTGAAAAACTGGACAAATCTGCAACTACAGCAGTTATAAAACTGTCTAGATTTTGAATCTATTTGGGCAGTTAGAAATCTGTCCGAAATTCAATGGATTGAAAAACTGTTTGGACTAATAAATCTGATTGTGGAATTCGGATCTGAAAATAGGCACAATTTTTGGACAAAAATTTTGATTTCAAATTTGAATTTCATCTTGAAATTCAAATAATTTCCTCCAAGAATTTTGAAAAAATTCAAATAAATTTTGTCCAAAAAATTAATGTTAGAATCGACCCGACTGGCGGCGGTGACGCGTGGTGATTTGGGCTAAGGTTCACTTTGTCCATAACTCCTCCCTTCTACAAACTTGGGGTGCCCCTTAGGGCCCAACCCAAGTGTTACCACCTAGAACTTATATACACATAAGTTTTCTTAAGTTTCCAATGTGGGATAACTATTTCAAGAAAACCCACATTTTACTTTCTTCAATTTTCTATTCCACGGACCCGAAAATGACGTCAAGTTCCCATTCACTCATAAATGGTTTTGACGAACCGTCTTTACCCTGTGACTTGCCATGTTGTAAGGAACACGTCACCTCTTTGGACCCACTTCAAAAGACATGTGGGACCCTCTCTATTTTAGGCACAAAGTTGGCCCAAAATAAGCCTATAAAAAACCAATTTTCCAACAATAATTACTTGGTTGAAGACATGCATCAGTCATGTTTTGATTATTGATGGTATTTTGGGAACATGTAATTATAGAATTTGAATCTGAACCCTAGACTTTTTTTTATGTCTATCATCTTGTTTTTGTGTTTTTTTTTTACTTAATTCTTATTTACTTAATTTTGTTGATATAATTCCTCCTCTCCCTCCCCTTTTTATCATTACCAATTTTGCATTTATGTATGTGTCTCTCTGACCAAACTGGGTGCATTTGGCTAGTGAATCCATTCCATGTTATAATTGCAAAATCCACGTCCCATTGAATTTTTCTTGATTGTTCTTATCTCTTTATGTGTATTGTTACCTAGGTTATGGTCAAGCAATTGTTTTTTGGTACCTTATAATCTAACAACTTCTTTTCTTTTCTTTTTGGCACTTGGTGTATATATTGATTAGTTCATATCCTTACTACCAACAAGGAGAAAAGAAAAAAAGAGTTGAAATCTATCTCAACAAAAAATTGAAAAACTTCACTGCCATGGTGTATCTATATATCATCCGTCTATAAATATACATATTGTTGGTGAAAATACTAGAAGAATTATATTTTATTGATAAATAATGCAAAGAAAATGAATAGATTAGACTGAGCACGGATATCTCATTTTCTTTAAGGAGATCAAGCCCACTGTGGTAAGAAGAACTCAAATACCGATGCAGCAGTCACTAAACTCTAACGTGTCCCTTCCAAGATACAATAGCCTGACCACTTGTCCTATGGTTCAGGGCAACTCTGTACAAGATGGTGAACCTAAAGCTCCATTTCTTTCGCTAGTAATCTCTTAAGTGTAAAAATAGCTGGTCAAAAAAAATGAGTAGATGAGAGGAACAATTTATAAGCCACTAGAACCTTACAAATTACACCAAAAAATAATTACCATTAAACTAGAGAAAATGGAGAGTCCCAAAACCTCCAAAATATTAACTCACCACCAATGCCCATGACGTTCCAATAATCTCCATTCATGGACAAAACAAAAGGTCATCAAAATAAATAAATAAAAGATATTAAAATGGTCCAACAATCCCCCACTCATTTTAATATCAACAAGGACAAGAGAGATTACCAAACAAATATAGACTAGTATGCGTCATGAATGTGTGCTCTGTATTGAACCTTCATTAGTGAAACAACAACCTCTACTCCAGAGTCAGTAGTGGTCTCAGACTTGAATTATAACTATTTAGGGGAAATAAAGTATTACTACTCACACATAATGATCCATGTGTTGACAAAAGCTTTTAACAGCTAGCACATTACGGCCTTGTGCTTATCTCAGTTTTCATGAACATATTTGAGAATAAGCCTTGTTTTCATAGAAAGCGACCCCACTTCCATGCTCACATTGGTGAAATCTGTCAAGGATGTTCCTGTAATATACACACCCCACTCAACAAGAGCTACAGAATTTTATTAAGAGTATAAAGACTACCCTCCAACATTGCAGGATAAATGCACGTACATTATAGGGATGGACAACAATATATTAAGGAGTGCATTTTTTACAACCACCATATGATTCGTTCTTCCCATTAAACCTAGTTACAGAATCTCTGGTCTCTGGGTTGGGTGTCATCATACATGGTTTATGATTTTATAGGCTTCAAAACCATCCCCCTCTATGTATTTCAGATCCTATCTCTCGCCAAGACCTTGGTTAACAGATCCGCAAGATTATCACAAGATTTTACATAATTCATAGTTATGATGCCATTACTCAAATAGGATCTCACATTACTGTGTTTCCTTCTAATGGGTCTGGATTTACCATTATAAAAATGGTAGTTCACTATACCAATAGCAGTAGTGCTATCATAATGAATTAACACAGGAAGAATTGATTTTTTCGAAAAAAGGATTTCATGTAACAAATCTCTTAACCAATTCACTTCTTCATATGCTAAAGCTAATGCTATAAGCTCAGCTTCCATTGTATAATTAGCAATAATAGTTTGCTTTTTAGACTTCTAACATATAGCACCACCAATTTGTTTTTCCCAAAAAGGGATTTCATGCAACAAATCTCTCAATCGATTCGCTTCCTCATATGCTGAAGCTAACGCTATAAGCTCAGCTTTCATTGTAGAATTAGCAATTATAGTCTGTTTTTTAGACTTCCAAAATATAGCACCACCACCCAAGGTAAAAATAAAACCAAAGTGTTCCAATTGGCATCACTATATCCCTTAAGTACCGCAAGATACTTGCTATAAAACAAACCATAATTTTTGGTACCAAATAAATATATCATAATTCTTTCCATGGCTAGCAAATGATCCCGACTTAGCTTGCTAGTAAACTTGCTAAGTACTCCAACAGCATATGCAATGTCAGGTCTAGTACAGTCAGTAACATATCTCAAACTACCAATCATACTAGCATATTCCTTTTGATAAATCACTTCTTTTTCATTTGTTACAACAAATAAATGTATACATGCATCAAAAGGAGTAACAACATGTTTACAGTCTAGAAAATTATATTTCTTGAAAATTTTCTCAACATAATACAACTGATCAAGAAAAATGACATCATTAGTCTTAGTAATTTTAATTCCCAAAATAAAATTGGCTTCACCAAGATCTTTCATATCAAAGTGGCTATTAAGCATATTTTTAGTCTCATTTATAATATGCAATTTAGAGCCAAAGACAAGTAGATCATCCACATATAGGCTAATAATCAAATGTGCATTCTCACAAGTTTTATAATATATGCACTTATTACATTTATTAGTCTTATAGCCATTTTAAAGCATGCAGGAATCAAATTTCTCATGTCATTGTTTAGGAGCTTATTTTAAACCAAAAAAATGGATTTAGTTAGCTTACACACTTTGTTTTCTTGGCCAGGCTCCACAAAACCCTCAAGTTGGTCAATGTGAATCTCCTCATCTAGATTTGTATTTAAAAAAGCTATTTTCACATCCATTTGATAAATTTTTAAATCATGAATTGCAGCCACTGCTATCAATAGTCTAATGGATGTAACTCTAGTAACTGGAGAAAAAGTATCAAAGAAATCAAAATTAATTTGTTGCTTAAAGCCTTTAGCGACAGACCTCGCTTTATATTTATCTATAGTTCCATCCGGTTTAAGTTTTTTATGAACGACCCATTTACACCCAATAGTTTTACAACCTTGAGGTAAATCCACTAGCTTCCATGTTTTATTTGAAAGTAGTGAATCTATCTCATCATTTACGCTTTTTTCCAGAAAATAGCATAAGGTGATGATAAAGCTTCTTGCACCGAAAAAGGAATTCCTTCCATATTATAAAGATAATAGTCAAGGCCAAAATCTTTTTCAACTCTAGCTCGTTTACTCCTTCTTGGTTGGATTTTAGAATTTTCTTGTTTTTGAAAAACTTAAGATGGAGTAAAAAAGCTAAGCATGGATAAAATATTTTCAAAAAATATTCGACCCCCACTATTTCTAGATTTGAAAGGAAATTTATGTTTATGAAAAATAGCATCACCTAATTCAAAAAGAATATTATTTTCCATATTAAAAAAATTATAAGCTGTATTATGCAACGCATACCCAAGAAAAACACAAGTAGTAGCTCATTCACCAAATTTAGGTCGTTTAGGATCTACAAGCCTCACAAAAGCTAAATAGCCCCAAACCTTCAAATAACCTAAATTTAGTTTATGCCCCCTCCACAACTCATAAGGTACAATTTTAGTCTTTTTGTGTGGCACTCTATTTATCACATGGCAAGCTGTCAAAATAGCCACACCCCAAAGATTTAAGGGAGCACCTGAATCAATAAGCATAGCATTCGTCAAGTCAATTAACGTTCTATTCTTTCTTTCAGCTACGCTATTAGATGAAGGTGAAAATAGTGGAGTAGTCTCATGAATAATTTTCAATGACTGAACAAAAGAGTTGAATCCATGAGATTCATATTCCCGGCCCCTATCACTTCTAATTCTCTTAATCTTTTTATCGAATTGATTTTCCACTTCAAAAGGAATTCTTTAAATTTCTCAAAAGTATTACTTTTATTTTTTAATAAATATACATTTTTATATTTTGAAAAATCATCAATATAAGTGATAAAATATCGGTTACCACCACAATTTAAAATTCCTTCAAACTCACACAAATCAGTATGAAATAATTCTAGCAATTCAGTATTTTTCTCAACACTTTTATGTGACCTCTTGGTAATTTTTACTTTATTACAAACTTCACATTTCTCAAAAAAAAATTGTCAATTTAGGAATTAATCCTAAACTACTCATGATTCCCACATATTTACTGTTAATGTGACACAAGCGAGCATGCCAAAAATTAATAGAAGACAACATATAAACCGAATTGATAGATGGTTTATTAATATCAACATTTAGTTTGAACATCCCATCACAAGCATAACCATTACCCACAAAAATACCCTTCTTGGTAATCACATGTTGATCAGATTTCATAGTTTGCGTAAAGCCAGCCTTATTCAATAAATAACTTGACATCAAATTCTTCCTCATGAACAGTGTATAAAGCACATCTTTTAAAGTAAGCATACATCCAGAGGTGAACTTAAGATCAACTTCACCACTCCCAAGTTTCTTGGTTTGACTAGAGTCATCAAGCATAATTGTTTTCTCATCATCAAAGGGAGTATACATCTTGAACCAAACTTTATCATAACAAACATGTCTATTAGCACCAGAATCTGCCTACCAACCTTCCACATAATTAACCATGAAAATGTATATACTAATCACCACAAATGGCTCCTCGATAACGTTAGTCTTTGGGGCAGGTGCACATTTTTGAAATTTGCAAGTTCGAGTAATATGCCCACTTTTGCCACAGACAAAGCATGTAAAATTTTGTGGAGGTGGTGGACCTTGGTTCTTATTTGGATTAATTCATTTATTGTGAGGTTTACCATAATTTTTCATATTCTTTTTATAAGGCTTCAAATAAGCATTCTTGGAATTCTAACCTTTGGGTAAGTTATTGTTTATTGAAACAAAGTTTACCTTTGTAGTAGAATTGTCATTATCCTCTTGTGTTATCAATGCATCTTGGTCTCTAGCCTCCTCTTCAACTCGGATGCGAGTGATCAACGACTCTAAGGAAGTCTCTTTTTGTTTGTGACGCACGTTCTTTTGGAATTCTCTCCAAGATGGCAGTAACTTGTCAACAAGTCCTACAACTACCAAGTTGTCACCAATCTTGATGTTTTCAGATCTTACTTCTACAACTATCATTTGGAAATCTTGTGCTTGCTCCACAATTGATTTTTCAACCTCCATTTGGAAGCGAAAAAATTGGCTAGCTGCATATTTTTTTGCTCCTGCCTTTTCAATATCATACTCAGTTTGTAAAGCTTTCCAAATTTTCTTTGCAGAAGTGTAAATGGTGTATAAACAAGGCAATTTAAGCGATAAAAGCAACATTTATACTCATTTGTATTGTATGAAGCCACTTTTACTTCATGTGCCTGGTAGTCTTCATCATTTATCTCCTCGGTTGGGATTTTGTTTGGGTTCTTCTCGATAATAACATAAGCAACTTTCAAAAGGCTGAGGTAAAAAAAAAAAAACATTTCCTTTCCACCTTTTAAAATGAATTCCCTTGAACTTGAAAGACTTGTTGAGATCTCCAATTCCATCGTTGACTTTTTTTGGTACTTGTTCCATATTGATCTTCTTAAAATTGTTGCTGAAAATACCAGAAGAATTATATTTTATTAATAAATAATGCAAAGAAAATGAGATACAAATAGATCATGCTGAGGCACGGATATCTCGTTTTCTTTAAAGAGATCAAAGCCATTGCGGTAGAAAGAACCCAAATACCGATGCATCAATCACTAAACTCTGACTTATCCCCTCCAGGGTACAACAGCCCGACCACTTGTCGTATGGTTCAGGGCAACTCTGTACAAGATGGTGAACCCAAAGCTTCACCAAGAAAAACACCATTCTTTGGCTAGTAATCTCTCAAGTGTAAAAATAGTTGGTCAAAAAAAAAAAAGTAGATGAGAGGAACAATTTATAATCCACTAGGACCTTACACATTATACTAAAAAATAATGACCATTAAACTAGAGAAAATGAGAGTCCCAAAACCTCCAAAATATTAACTCACCACCAATGCCCATGAGCTTCCAATAATCTCCATTCATGGACAAAACAAAAGGTTACCAAAATAAATAAATAAAAGATATTAAAATGGTCCAACACATATCAATTATCTATCTATCTATATATATGTATATCATCTCTTCATCAACTTTATCATCTTCATCAACTTCACCAACATCACCACCTGAATCACCAAATTCAGTACCGAACTCCATTATTGTCACCACGAGCATCACCATTACCACCACGTTACAACACCAAACCCACCTCATTCACAACCAAGTTCCATTACCACTACCATCAAGCTCCACGGCCACCATCACTGCGAGCTCCGCCGCTATCGCCGATCCTCCATATCATGTTATAAGTGAAAAAGAAAAGAAGAATAAGGAAGATAGAAAAGAAAGAAACAAAAGATAAATGTTTCGGAATTTTCGAAGTTAGTTTTCAGACAACTTTGGGCATACCGAAATCACCCATTACACGAAGAAGTGAGAAAGTGAGGTAGTGTAGGATAAAATAGTAAGTAAGATGAAAAGAATAGCGAAAGAATGAAGTAGAACCATTAAGAATCGAGACAGATATGAAGTCCGAAAGATGGCTCAAAGAAAAGTTCAAAACGAGAAGGGAAATCTTATTTATTTTTTATCAACTTTTAGAGTTTCGACGGCATGCAAAAAGAGGAAGAACAATACGTGTGAGAGGTGATACGAAAACCAGGCTGTGAAGTGAATCCAACAACGAAAAAATTAGGCGAAACGTAGTTATAACGAAAGAATTAGAAGAGCTTGAAATGGTGGTTGGTGGTGATGATTTGCTGGTATGAGAGGATGAGTTTGCATCTTTCTTTTGAAATTTGGGGTTAAAATGTAATTTTTTTAACTTTTTTCATTTCAAATGTAATGGTAGAGGCAAAATTGATACGATTTCAAAAATTTTAGGGGTAAAATTGAAATTATTCAAAATCTAAGGATAATTGAAAATCGAGACAAAATATATAGTTAAAAAGGAGGCTGTGTTTGGTGGAGCTTTAGAAACGTGATTCCACACCTTGGTTTGAGTGCTATGTTTGGTTAGAATTTTCAAAAATTGATTCCACGCCCACTTTTAAAAACACGTCTACTCGGTCATCCTCCCAGACGTTCGGCCGGTTGATCAGATTTTTTTTTTTAGGCAATTAGTACCTGTTATTTTTATATTTTTATGAGTTTTGAATAGAATTTTGGGTTGTGTGTTTGGTTATGAATTGCAAGTTTTGAATCAAACAACTTTTCTAATTTCATATGTCATATCAAAAATTTAAAACTCAATTCAAATTTTTTTTCGAAACTTATAACTAAACAAACTTTTTCTTTTCAAATCATAATTCCAAAACTCATAAACTCAAAATACAACTCTATTATCAAATCATAATTCTAAAACTTTACCAAACGCAACCGAAATTTTCTCATTTAATTGGGATAAATTATCAAGAGATCCTAATAGTTGGATTTTATTCATATCAAGTCTTAGTGAAAATAACTCATAGTAAAATCGTCACTAAAAATAATTTTTTATAACACTTTATTGCATGTCACCAAAAATTAATAGTTAGTGATTTTTTTTGTCACCATTTTTATAAATTATCTCTAAAACTTATAATTAGTAACTTTTTTTATGACGAATTTTTCAAACTGTTACTTAAAATTAAAAATTAGTATTTTTTTGTAATGATATTTTAAACTATTGTTAAAACTTATAATTATGGTTCGTTTGGCATGTCTCTTTGGGCTTAAATAATCATATAAGACAAAATATGCTATTTTAGCCAAATAGAACAAAATGTGGCATCCAATTCATAATTATTTTATTTTTTCTCTCATAAAAGTTAAAAAAACTAAAAACTATCCCAAATAAAGTTTTTTAACCCTAGATTAAGTAAGTGTTTGGGATAAATCAAAAAAATGCACTTTTTTAGTTTACCCCACTTATTTGGTTTACATCAATTAATATCTATCAACATCTCCCCCCCTATTTTTTTAACCATTTTTTTTATTTTTCTACACATTTTTTTTTGTTTATAAAAGTTAAAAAATGAACTTATTTAAAACATCTCAAACCACCCCTAAAATAATCAAAAGGCAAAAAGTCAACTATCCCTACAAGTATGTTTGAATTGAGTGATTTGGGATGAAATGAAAAGAAATAGAGAGATATATATTTCTCTTACTTGTTTGGATAATTTAAGTTGAGAGAAATTGAGCGAAACGGAGATAAATTCATTTCTCTTATATCTCTCATTTTCAATATTCTCAAAAGTGGAGAGATTGAGAAAGAAAAAAAACCATAATACCAATTTTGTCTCTATAAAAATAAAAAAAATAAAATGATTGAAAATATAAAAAGATTATTTTGATAATATAAAATAAAATAATTTCTTTTCTTTTCTTTTCTTTTTTCTCTTATAAAAACTAATCAAATAAAAAAGAGAGAAATTATAATATTTTTTCTTTTATTTTTTACTTATACAAATAAAAAAAAAAAGAAAACGCAAATATTTTTATTTTATTTTTTTTATAACTTAAAGTAACCCTTTATTTTCTTTTCTCTCTAGTTTCGCGACATATTAGTGATATTTTTTCTATGACAAAATTAACAATTTTATCTTCGGAGCAGAGAATTGAGTAAAAATTGTGGATTGTGCACGAAGGCAGGCACAAGAAAACGGTGAGCGTGTAACTGCGATTTGCAATTTTGAATCTGGAATGGGTTGGGTGTGGAAGAAGGACGAAGCCGAGGAGGATAATTCAAACCCTAGATCTGACAATCGATGCTCCACCACAAAGATCGTCAAATCGCACTGCACAACCGACGAAGTTGAGCCCGGCAAATTCATCAGAAAGTGTGAGAAAACCGATATATATTTCTCTTACTTGTTTGGATAATTTAAGTTGAGAGAAATTGAGCGAAACGGAGATAAATTCATTTCTCTTATATCTCTCATTTTCAATATTCTCAAAAGTGGAGAGATTGAGAAAGAAAAAAAACCATAATACCAATTTTGTCTCTATAAAAATAAAAAAAATAAAATGATTGAAAATATAAAAAGATTATTTTGATAATATAAAATAAAATAATTTCTTTTCTTTTCTTTTCTTTTTTCTCTTATAAAAACTAATCAAATAAAAAAGAGAGAAATTATAATATTTTTTCTTTTATTTTTTACTTATACAAATAAAAAAAAAAAGAAAACGCAAATATTTTTATTTTATTTTTTTTATAACTTAAAGTAACCCTTTATTTTCTTTTCTCTCTAGTTTCGCGACATATTAGTGATATTTTTTCTATGACAAAATTAACAATTTTATCTTCGGAGCAGAGAATTGAGTAAAAATTGTGGATTGTGCACGAAGGCAGGCACAAGAAAACGGTGAGCGTGTAACTGCGATTTGCAATTTTGAATCTGGAATGGGTTGGGTGTGGAAGAAGGACGAAGCCGAGGAGGATAATTCAAACCCTAGATCTGACGATCGATGCTCCACCACAAAGATCGTCAAATCGCACTGCACAACCGACGAAGTTGAGCCCGGCAAATTCATCAGAAAGTGTGAGAAAACCGAGCAGATTCTCAGGGACTGTGTTGGAAGGTATCTATCTCTCTCTGGAAACCTAGTTTTTGTTTATACAACTGTTTGATTGCTGAGAAAGTTTGAGAAAATGATTGCAAGTCTTTTGAATTTTGATGCTAGGGATTTCGTTAATTTCAAATTCAAGTATGCAGAAATCTTTAATTCAATCTCGAGTGTCATGGAAAAATGTGTTTCTCCACCTAATTTGCCTTTGTTTAGTTTTGTAGCTACATGTATTATATGCACACACTTATAATAACAAAACCAAATAAATGGAACCGTGTGTATAAGAAATAAATGTGAATTTGTGTTGAGATTATATATTGGAAGCATTTGTGATTTGCTTCCACAATATTCTATCTATGGACAAGGAAACTATAGATGCTTAAAGTGGCTTGATATTTGCATAAAGAAAATGTTGTTAGATTAAAGTTATCTGCAATTCTTCAAAGATGGGCCATGGATCAGCAAACACGGTTGGCACAGGGGTGGCTCCAAAATACATAAATTCAAACACAAACTCTCAAATACTAAACAATATGGAATCTTAATATATTGATACTGTTGTTTTTAACAAAAACACGCTTATTGTACTTTTACAATTGTCCTCGCCGAGGTTTCATATGTTAAAATCATTGCATAATAGCCACATTGTCAAACACATCTTTTTTAATATGAGTCACCAAACAATCATTCAGCAGCTGATCTCCTATTCAGTTACGTAGTTGATTATTTATGAATTTCATTGCTGAAAAAGCTCTTTCTATTGTTGCAGTTGTGACTGGTAAAAGTAATGCTAATTTCACAAGTGAGTAGGCCAATGGATATACAATGCCTTTTTTCATTTTCACTAACGTATCATCAAGTCTACCGCAGAAAAATCAAATTGATAAAATTCAGCCGAAAAATCAAGTTTTGGTTATCATAAGCAAAAAATAAATTATTAGGATTCAAGCAAGCCACACAAAGAAGCAACTCAATATTCATCTTTGTAAAATGGTTTATATTGCAAACATTAAAATTTCAAGCTAATTCATGTAATATAGATACATATGTACACTATGATGGAGTTAAGTGAGTAGGTGAGAAAAAAATTACATCAGAGACATTGGAACTAGCTAGAGAAATCTTAAATTTAGAAGTCCACCATTCTTAGTCTCTAGTGTTTTAGTTGTGTCGTCTCGTCTTTGTGTTTAAAATAAAAAAATATAAAAAAAGAGCCCACTTAAAATCTCTCAATGGAGTTTAGGCATATCAGACACAAATGAGACGGAGGATGAGTTAGGAACCTCACTGCCACGTTTGTCTTTCAATGTTTTATTTGATGGGCTGGAGATCAAAAGAGGAGAAAAAATAATTAAGCAATAGAGGGCCTGCCTGACTATAAAATAGGGTGGGCCTATTTAGGTGGGCTCATTTTGGGATGGGCTAATTGGGTGAGTTCATTTTGGGAGGAGCTCTTTTTTTTTTTTAATGGTGGGTTCTAATTGTCCAAACTATTTCTATTACAGTGGATAGTAATATATATATATATATATATATGGTTTGGAATGATCTAAATAAGTGCACTTTTTGATTTTTTATGAAATATGAGTTGGATATGGGTTGGGTTTGAAGTAATGTGATAGAGAAGTGATGTGACTTAAATAAGATGATGTGACTTAGGGCTAGTTTGGCAAGTGTAAAAAAAGTCAAAAATTTAAAAAGTTACCAAAAAGTTAAAAAATTATCACTATTCACTAAAAAAAATATAAAAAAATTAATATACGAATATTAAATACAAATCAACTTTTTGACCATCAATGTACTGACATCAGGCCAGCTACAGTGAAAGGGAAAAAAAAAAAATTGCATGTGTACATTCACTAAATTGGACGGTAAAGTTAGGCCCGTGGGGCTCCATCATGGGTCCCGTTTTGATAATCCGAACCGTTCAAGATGTAGAGCTCGTCTAGTACTATATGCTTGTAAAAAATCACGTCTATCAGATATTGCTAACTACATGATCAAATCAGTTTTATATAAAAATTGAATGGTGTTATAGTTAACAGTTGACAAAAAAAACTAACACGATCAGATAGCTATCGATATCCAATCAACGTGATTTTTTACAAGCATATAGTACTCGACGAGTTCTACATATTGAACGGTTCCGATTAGAAAAAGGGACCCATGGTGGGCCCTCACGGGCCGAACAATACTATCCAATCAAAGCTAAAAAATGAGGCAATCTTTTCCTATGTATTCACCTAGCCGACTACACTGCAATCCCTACGACGTACTAAACTATCTTCTCCTATACACTTTTTTTTACAAATTTTTAATACACATTTTTTCATAAAAAGTCAAAAAGTTAACCCAAACATTCATATTTTTTTCTTCAACTTTTTAGTCTAAAAAGATAAAAAGTGCACTTATTTAGAACACCCCAAACAACCCTTTAAATAGGATAGTAACTTTTCGACTTTTTAACTTTTTTAGGTTATGACAAATAAGATCTTAAAATTCTTAGTGGGGCCATCGGGCACCTACATGGAACCATGTGGCGCCACCTCTGGGTTGGGGTTGGTGTCACAATTTCTTTTCTGAAAATGCCCCCAAAACTTGTTAGTCGTTATAAACTGCTTTAATTCTCTCCAATTGCTTCAAATAACTATATCACAATTATGAGATCCAATTACAAATTGCACAAGCATAGTGTGTGTCCACCTCTAGTATATATATATAGGGTAAATTACACTGGCACCCCTTGAGGTTTGTTTTTAATACAAATAGCCGTCTCACGTTCTAGAAATTACATTCCTCTCCCTAAGGTTTAAATTTTCGTTACAATTTAATCTTTCCGTTAGTCAACCGTTAAGTCAACTAACGGAAAAAACTAATATAATAAATTAATTTTTTAAAATGCCTATTTTACTCTTATTTAAAAAAATCTTTTTTTAAAAAAAAAAATTACTAGATGAGTAAAGAAAATCTGCTACGATTAAAAAAATTCATTTAATACTAACATATATATTATCATACTATTAAACATTTAGGAATGCTATGGTACACAAGCTTTTGTGGTGTTAATTATCATAAATATTATAATTAGATCATTTGCAATCATAATTAAAAAAAAAATTAGTTATAATTAAACACCGCATAAGGCATAACTAAATACTTTTTGAGTCATAACCAAAATAATGTTATAATCAATAGTTATAACTAATACCATAATAGGTCATAACCAAAGACCACGACTGGGGTATATAAAATTTTCTTAGAACGGAAAATTGTTTTTCAATTTTATATATGCAAACAAGGGTAAAATAGGCATTTTAAAAATTAATTTATTGTATTTATTTTTTCCGTTAAATTGTAATGGAAGTTTAAATCTTAGGGAGGGGAATGTAATTTTCAGAACGTGAGGGGAGTACTTGTATTAAAGACAAACCTCAAGGGGTGTCAATGTAATTTACCCATATATATATGTACATATGTGGGTGAAGCGTGTTAGAGACAATATGTCATGGATCTCTGGGAAGATGGCGGGCACTTCAATAGCTTAAAGTCACCAGAGGGAAGGAGGAGAAGACCAAGGCAAGCTTAGAGGTGGTGAGGGTGGCAGTGAGACCTTGAACACTCTAGAGTTTGGTGTGCAAGATACACTTGAGCTCATATCTTGCCATGCATTATTTTTAATAGGTTAATGTGTAATGAAAATGTATGTTCTTGTCCCCGCATTCATGACACACTATTTAGGCTCCTGGAGTATGGACAAGTGGTGAGCTCTCCTCAACTCAAGAAGCTAATATCAACCTTAATGCCTGTGGTCTAGGTTGGTAGGTATGATATCTTGGGATGTGTACCATGAATGCAGTGAGCATGAGTGTAAGGTTGACGTTTGCTTTCCATCTAAGCTTGGTCAAGGTGGAGTTGTCACTGCAGGGTTATAAAGCATGGACATTTCAAAATCGGTGTCGTGGCGGTGTCCGACACCGATCAGATAGCTATCGATACCAAATCAACGTGATTTTTTATAAGCATATAGTACTCGACGAGTTCTACACATTGAACGGTTCTGATTAGAAAAACGGGACCCATGGTGGGCCCCCACGGGCCTAATAATACTGTCCAATCAAAGCTCAAAAATGAGGCAATCTTTTCCTATGTATTCACCTAGTCGACTGCACTGTAATCCCTACGACGTACTAAACTATCTTCTCCTATACACTTTTTTATACAAATTTTTAATACACATTTTTTCATAAAAAGTGAAAAAGTTAACCCAAACATTTATATTTTTTTTTTTCAACTTTTTAGTCTAAAAAGATAAAAAGTGCACTTATTTAGAACACCCCAAACAACCCCTTAAATAGGATAGTAACTTTTCGACTTTTTAACTTTTTTAGGTTATGAAAAACAAGGTCTTAAAATTCTTAGTGGGGCCATCTGACACCCACATGGAACCATGTGGCGCCGCGTCTGGGTTGGGGTTGGTGTCACAATTTCTTTTCTGAAAATGCCCCCAAAACTTGTTAGTCGTTATAAACTGCTTTAATTCTCTCTAATGGCTTCAAATAACTATATCACAATTATGAGATCCAATTACAAATTGCACAAGCATAGTGTGCGTCCACCTCTAGTATATATATATAGGGTAAATTACACTGGCACCCCTTGAGGTTTGTTTTTAATACAAATAGCCGTCTCACGTTCTAGAAATTACATTCCTCTCCCTAAGGTTTAAATTTTCGTTACAATTTAATCTTTCCGTTAGTCAACCGTTAAGTCAACTAACGGAAAAAACTAATATAATAAATTAATTTTTTAAAATGCCTATTTTACTCTTTTTTTAAAAAATCTTTTTTTAAAAAAAAATTACTAGATGAGTAAAGAAAATCTGCTAGGATTAAAAAAATTCATTTAATACTAACATATATATTATCATACTATTAAACATTTAGGAATGCTATGGTACACAAGCTTTTCTAGTATTAATTATCATAAATATTATAATTAGATCATTTGCAATCATAATTAAAAAAAAAAATAGTTATAATTAAACACCGCATAAGGCATAACTAAATACCTTTTGAGTCATAACCAAAATAATGTTATAATCAATAGTTATAACTAATACCATAATAGGTCATAACCAAAGACCACGACTGGAGTATATAAAATTTTCTTAAAACGGAAAATTGTTTGTCAATTTTATATATGCAAACAAGGGTAAAATAGGCATTTTAAAAATTAATTTATTGTATTTATTTTTTCCGTTAAATTGTAATGCAAGTTTAAATCTTAGGGAGGGGAATGTAATTTTCAGAATGTGAGGGGAGTACTTGTATTAAAGACAAACCTCAAGAGGTGTCAATGTAATTTACCCATATATATATATGCACATATGTGGGTGAAGCGTGTTAGAGACAATATGTCATGGATCTCTGGGAAGATGGCGGGCACTTCAATAGCTTAAAGTCACCGGAGGGAAGGAGGAGAAGACCAAGGCAAGCTTAGAGGTGGTGAGGGTGGCAGTGAGACCTTGAACACTCTAGAGTTTGGTGTGCAAGATACACTTGAGCTCATATCTTGCTATGCATTATTTTTAATAGGTTAATGTGTAATGAAAATGTATGTTCTTGTCCCCGCATTCATGACACACTATTTAGGCTCTTGGAGTATGGACAAGTGGTGAGCTCTCCTCAACTCAAGAAGCTAATATCAACCTTACTGCCTGTGGTCTAGGTTGGTAGGTATGATATCTTGGGATGTGTACCATGAATGCATTGAGCATGAGTGTAAGGTCAACGTTTGCTTTCCATCTAAGCTTGGTCAAGGTAGAGTTGTCACTGCAGGGTTATGAAGCATGGACAGTCCAAAATCGGTGTCGTGGCGGTGTCCGACACGCGGACACATACGGGACACGCCAGATGGCGTGTCCCTTTAATTTAATGATTGTTTTGTAGGAGACACAGCAGGGACACGCGTGTCCATATCAGGACACGGCATGGGACACGGTGGGGCTCACTTTTTTGTTCTTCCCCCCCCCCCCTTCTTTTGCCTCTTATTTAGTGTTTTTGTAAAGAATATTGTTAGATGTTGAATGTTTTTCCCTTCTCGTCTTAGTTCTTGTTATCGCTTATTATGACTTTTTGTGAATGGATTATCTATTTATTTGTTTAAATGTAGTGGTTATATTTATTGAATTAATGTTATTATGTTAGTGTTTGTTAATTTTGATTTAGGATAAATGTAATATGAATCTACTTAACACATAAAAATATATAAAAATAAAAATAAAAAATCGTCGTGTCCTCTGTCGTGTCCGTGTCCCCATTTTTTGGAAATTGCCATGTCCTGTGTCGGTGTTTGTGTCCATGCTTCATAGCTGCAGGGAGACAACCAAGCAACCTTGGCGAACTCATGGTCTTTAACTTCCCAATCCACAACCTTCAACGATCCCGAGTGTGGTGTCAAGGCCCTACTCTCAGCCTAGAGTCAAGTGGTTAAGTAGAATAAGCGAGCCGAAAGTGAGCCAAGGGCCAACCTTTAGGCCTCTAAGTGAACATATGAGGGCTGAGGGCCCAAATGACCACGTAGGTGAGCCAAGGGCTCGACCATAGGCCATTAGCTGAGCATATGGGAGCTAAGGGCCCAAGCAAGCATGAAGGTGAGTCAAGGACTCATCCTTAAGCCGCTAGGTGAGCATATGCGAGCCAAGGGCCCAAGCGAGCATGAAGGTGAGTCAAGGACTCAACCTTGGGTAGTTAAATGAGCATGTGTGAACCACAGGCCCAAGTGTGGCCCAAGACCCAACTCATTTATCTTGGAGTTTTTCATATTTGGTGGCGCGTAGGCCACCACTTTGCCTATAGGCATACAATCCCAATTGATCGTGGTGCCTTGGAGGTCTGCCACATGAGGCGTGATGTCGGTGATGTGGCTCCCAGAGGGCTTGCCATGTGCCGGGCATGGTACACATATCCACAATATACACGCACTTATAGATAACAAAAACAAAGAAATGGAACTGTGTATAAAAAATACATACAAATTTGTGTGTTGAGATATATATTGGAATCATTTGTGATTAGCTTTAAAACTATTCTATCTATAGACAAGGAAACTTTAGCCTATAGGTGCTTACAGTGACTTGATATTTGCATAAAGAAAATGTCGTTAGATTAAAGCTATCTGTGATTCTTGAAAGATGGAACCATCGATCAGGTAAATCTTATCGTATTATATATATATTCACAGATTTGGATGCATATTTGTCACAAAAGTAATTGGTAGATAATTGTTAGTAATTGTTAGTAATTGTCACAAAAGCTATCTGTGACTCTACATCTAACTGTCCAGTCCACCCGTCCACACTATTAATTGAGCCTCCTAACACAGTCCTTGCTTTGCCACTGAATTTAAACCAGTCTGAGAACCTATACCAAGGGGTAATGGACTAGTAAGGATGGGTAGATTATCTCACTATTAGGTAGAAGGAGAGCTCCCTTGGACCCAACCAAATTGGGTCAGTGTAATAAAGACACACTTGTCCAGCAATTGTGTGGAGGAAAAGTCTACTGATGTAGCACCAAAAGTAAAGAAGAAATAAATTGGGGATGACAATCCCAAAATGCTCTCAATCGCAATAATCAATATCCATCAAGTCTAGCCTAAAACAATTACATAAAACCACGTGTATATACATATAGGGAAACCAAATTATAAATAAATAAATAAATCCAATAAGGAAACAAAATCCTAATTATTGTATTTCCTAAAATTCCTAGATAAACTATTCATATAAATAAAATTCTAAATTAATTTAAGTTCTTGAAGATAATCATAATCTTCGATTGTGCTTCATCCAATTCCTTTACGGTCCCCATCACCTACCCTTTGTAGGCTCAAAATTTATGGACCTCTTCTTCTATCTATGCTTCTGGTGTCATTTGGTGTCAGGTTTGAGGGGGGAACTTAGCTTGTGTGTTACAATGGATACATATTATCAAATTCAAATGCTAGTCAGTTGAACGATTCGTATGCTTTTCCGAGTTCCTCGCTTACATCTACTATTTTGATATGTTCCAGGAAAGTAATTTAGTTTGTATATAAAAACCAAGGTCAACTATGGCGGGGCTAGCCAACTTATCGAATTTTGGATTGGATTTGTCATAGGTTAGAAATGCAAATAAATGTGTTTTCGAGATCATGGGGGTAGCACAGGACAGGAGGGAAACTGGATTGGTTTGCTATGATGTGCAACGTGGGTCTGCATGCACAGGTTTGGAGTACATGGCTTAGTTTATGGGCATCTTGTGGACACGGAGAAGGTGCAAAAGACTCTTATAGGTTGTGAGTGAAGATACGATGGCCCATTTTAAACAAAATATGGTCCATTTGGCAAGGTTTTCAAATACAGTTGCGCTTTCTGTAACAGTAACAGTGGCAGTAATGCAGTTTTGGGGTTTAATAGTGTAGCATAACGGTTGCAGCAACCGAAGCGGTGTTTTTATTTTAGAATTACATTTGTTGAGGTTTAAAATGACTTTCGAAGGATTCATATATTTTTTAAAGTTGCTATGAATAGAGTTTTGACATTTTTCTGTCAATATTTAATGATTTCATTTATCATAAAATCATTATGCACCATTTTACTATTGTTTATTTGGTTATTAATAATAGTTATAGACTTAAATGTTATGTTGTGTTTCAAATTTGGAAATTGCATATGTTTGATAAATAAAAGTGTAATGATAGTGTTATAAGAAGCGTCTGATGGAAAGTATTGGACATATGTCCATCCCAGACATTCGTCCGAGTGTTGGGTTTTTTGACATGAGTATTTGATTTATTTTAAAGAGTTTATGTGACCTGGACTCTTCTATTTCCTCCAAAGTACACGTGTCTACTGGATATGACAATGGTAAGGGTATGAGATATGTGTCTAACACCCAGTACTCAATTTAGATACTTGGATCAATTTTTTACAATGTTCGAAAAATAAGAAGCTCACATTTGCTAGACAATGAACACTTATATGTTAGATAAGAGAGAAAATTCATTTCGTTCCTTAAATCCTATTTAATTTCAAGTATATTTTTTACATAATCTGTAAAATATTTTTTAAGAATATCATATAATATGTAATATACAAATGTCCATAACGAGTCCCCATACTCCTATCCTATTTTGGATACATATCCTAATATTCTAGGAGTTAAGCTTATGATTGGACATGCACCAATACTCGTACCCGAGTCCATATAACATAGCATTTAATATAACATAGCATGTAACATAGGCAAGGATAGATGATCTTGTATCTGTAGTGTCCCATTCATTAATCTACTTTTGTGCAATCCCATTCATTAATCCACTTCTGTGCAATTAATTTGTCCAGAGTAAACCGTGGGATTCTGCTCCTAGGAATATTATGAGTCTTTTACTGATGGGGTATTAAATATTTTGCATTTTTGTTAAGTAGCTATAATTAAGTGCATCAATTCTTACACTTGGAATAGCATCCTTGGAATGGTTTAATATTTGGGACATGGCATGTTGTGTAGATGTTCTGGGATGATTTGGGAGTTAACAGTCTAGGCTTTCACACACCATCTTAAACGGCAGATTTTTTCTGCCACCATTATTATTGTTATTATTTCAGGCCCTCTGAAGTGGTGCAATCCAACAAAGAATACACAGAAGAAGATGTATCAGACCAGGTGAAGAAAGGGTCTTTCCCCATGGAGTCATCTGAGCTTGTACCATTCGGCTTCCCTGGTCTGCGCGGAGATATTGAAGCCATTGAAAGGAACTTCTTTGGTGGCCTCAGCCGTTTCTTTGAAGCAGCGGAAGAAATGAAGAATGGGTTCTTCAGTGTATTTGGCTCTCCACACCTGTATGATGGAGATTCTTCATCCAGGAATCGAGGAATACCCATTGAAGGCCATCTGCCAAAAGAAGCCTCTCCAGAACTTAATAATCCTGAATCTGGAGATGTTGATCTTTCTGGTTTGGCCAGAGATGTTTGAAGCAGTCCTTTCCCCTTAGATGAAAATGATTTTTGAGACCACCACTCTCTTGTACTCCTACTTTACGTGAATAATAATATAATAAATACCCAGTACAGATCTAAGTAGGTAGGTTTGTCTTGCGTTGTTAAGTCTCATAAATTTTGACTCACTATATTTGCCCCCCAGAATACTAAAACGTGTTTGTGGTGCAGTTTTAGGGTGGACTGTTTTTATGTTATTGAAATGTTAACCACCATCATTGTTAGCTAGTTTGTGTTGTGGGATATCTCAAAGTAATTGTGGTGTTTAAGTTGAAAATATTGGCCACCATCATTGTTAGCTAGTTTGTGTTGTGGGATATCTCAAAGTAATTGTGGTGTTTAAGTTGAAAATATTGGGTCCATGAATATTTTATATATATATATATATCAACGCCTAACTTTTTCAGCATGTGACTAATTTCTGAAGTCAGGAGGAGACTTTTGTGTTTGGTTGTGTTCTTAAATCATGATTCTGCACCTTGATTCAAATATGATGTTTGGTAGGAGTTTTGGAATTACGTTTTTAAAACTCTGCAGAGAGCTCTGTTTCAACCGTGTTTTTCAGAATTTTTTTTTTAAAATTTTGCCTAACCGGTTGTCCGGCTGGTTGATCGGAATAGTGAATTTTTTTTTTTTTTTTTTTGTGTGTTATATGTTAATTTTTATATAATCGAAAAATATATTTTCTAAAATTTTTAAAAAAATTTATGTGTTTTTAAAATAATTTTGAGTTGTATGTTTAGTTATGAGTTGTAAATTTTTGTATTAAATATCAAATGTTACATCAATAATTTTCCACTCAAATCAAAACTCTTTTCAAAATTATTTTCAAAACTCTTTACCAAACAAATTTTCTGCACTCAAATCATAATTCTAATTCCATAAATTCAAAATACAATTCATACTTTCAAATCATAATTATAAAATTCTACCAAACGCAACCTGGTTTCTCCTTGAGACTTTGTGACCATCATTTGTAGTTTAGTTCACTCTTACGATGTGTTTGCTATATGTCAAGGACTTTTTTTTGGATGAATATATGTTGAGGTCATACTCCATTTATCTTTAAACTTGTATTTTGTTGTTTCTAAAAAAAAAATAAATAAATGAATTGATCGATTGGTTTAAGTATGGTTTATTTTTTGGCTTTTTTGTTTATTATAAAAAGATATACAGAAAAGTAGAGAAGTGATGTAATTTAAATAACAATAAATAACAACTTGTTTTTAGTGTTTCCAAAAGGGACCAAAATTTTGATTGGGACACCATTTGTTTTTGTCCCAAGAACATTAAATCATTTTTCGACATGATAACTGGTATTGAAGATGATTAAATTGTACTGGTTGGTTAGACCGATTGACCTGTCTAAGTTTCGGGTTTCATTTTTCGGGTTTCAGGTTTTATTATTTTTGTATCTGCATTTCTATTTCAGACTTAAAGATGTCAAATTTCAAATATTCAAATATTGACTTTTTGTGCACATATATTTCTATCTTTTCATACACATAATTTTTCTGTAGAATAAATTTTCAAATCTCTTATTCTCTCCCACACACAAATATATATATATATATATATATATATTACAAATTGAAAATAATATTTACTGATAATATCAAAGGAGTATAGTCGATAAGATGTTGTCACATTTTTTTTTGGCTAGTTGAGTGGATGACATGTTTATTGATCTTTCTGCCTTTCTTAAAGTTTCACAAGTCATTGGTGTTTTACTTATTACTTGTGCTATGTCAATATCAATTTCAGTTTAAATTATATGTATTGATAATAGATTCCTGGAGAGGTTGCTCTTCTTTGCCCTTGTAGATAACTCAAAGAGGCTCTAAAGTCCATTCCCTCAAAATTCTTTCTAAGTAAAAAATCTAGGCTGTTTTGTGTCAATCTTATCACCTTAATCTCAAATATATAAACATGTCATCTATTCTTGGCCTCTTTAAACCTATAAATATATTGTTGTGCAGATTCACCTTATTTTTGTTTAAACTTTAATAGGTCTATTGTTAGCACCTTGATATTTGGGAGTTGGCGGCCTGACACTTGTTGCCATGTTGCACATATGTGAGGCCTGGACTGCGGCATGAGGGAGGCATGTCAAGACAATAAGGTAGGCAATCAGTTGTGTCATTTGGTAGCAGCATTCAACCCTTGGCCAAATTATGGGCAACATGGCATGTGCAAGGCATTAATATGACCTTAATGCTAGGCTGCAACATACTTGGGGGTTTAACATAATCAGATGGCTTGACTTGGCTAGACAGCAAGGCGTGGTGCTAACTTGGCTAGACAGCAAGGCGTGGTGCTAACTTGGCTAGGTAACAAGGCGATTAGACTTGACCAAGGCCAATAGATGGCACTCCGGGCTCTGTCTGGCCAGTGGCTTGAGAAATTCAAAATTGTCTAAGGCAAGACAAAGGCTTCCTAAAATATAAGGGCAGTTATGAGCAGTTATGCACTGCTGGCCAAGAACAAGGAAGGCTGAAATAAAAGAGCAGTTGGTGATAGTTATTTCTGTAGGCTTGTTTCAAATATGTGTTAACCCCTTGGCAGTTAGGGGTGTCAACTGCCATGCCAGATGACATGTGTCCTTTATGTTTTGTAACCTATTTGAATTTCAAATGTTCTAATTATAGCCTATATATAGGCATGGCCATGCAAACTCCAACGGATTAAGTGTTTGAGAGTTTGGCATTTGGCTTTCCTTTGTAATTGTTGGTGCAATAATAAAAGTTAGGTTTTCCAGTAATTGTTGTGTTGCTTGGCTTGTATGCTTGACGAAATTTAACTTGTGTGTGTGAGTTGCATACATTGGCTGAGACTAAATATTAGGACTTAGTGTCATCGCAAGAAAATTTTATAGACTAAAAATTAGCCTGTGACAATTGGTATCAAAGCCAAGTTGCTCATAAATGGTGTTTGTTATGGATGCTTTGAAAGAACGAGTGACTCGGTTGGAAAATCTGGTGAGGGTACCCGCTAATGTAATTTGCTTTTTGACGGATCGATTGGATGTTGTGGCTTCTGGGTTTCTTACCTTTGAGGCCTCGATGGCAGATCGGTTCAAAGGAGTCTTGGAAGACATGACTGTCATGGCTGATGCCTAGAAGGACCAGTTGCAGAATGTAGAAGACAAATTGTCTAACCTCAAGAAGGCTGTCTATGGGCATTCGGGTCGTGGTGACGTCCCTTTGAAAGTTAAAGTCCCTGACCCTAAGGCATTTGGCAGTGCTCGCAATGCCAAGGAACTTGAGAACTTTTTGTGGGATATGGAGCAATATTTCAAGGTTGCCAATGTTTCTGAAGCGGAGAAAGTCGTGATCATGAGCATGTATCTCTCTAGGGATGCAAAACTTTGGTGGCACACAAGGATGGAGGATGATGCTCATTCTCTGATCAAGACGTGGGAATTATTAAAGAAGGAATTGAAGGAGCAGTTCCTTCCTTGCAACTCGTCTTGGGTTCCAAGAGACACTTTGAAACGATTAAAACATAGCGTATTAGTAAGAGAATATGTAAAGCAATTCAGTTCGCTAATGTTGGACATCAAAAACATGTTTGAGGAAGACACGTTGTTCAACTTCATGTCGAGCCTTCAGCATTGGGCACAATTAGAACTTTATAGGTTGGAGGTAAAAGATTTGCCCTCTACCTTGCTGCTACGGATGGTTTACTTGACTACAAATTGAGTCAAGCATCCACTTTTGAATCCAAATCTTCCAAACAGAAAGGGAAGGAGAAGAAAGGAGACAAGAAGTGGAAGGAGGGCTATAGGAAAAAGGGCTACAAGCCCAAACAGAAAGGCGAGGAATCACAAAGTAAGTAGCAAAATCTAACTTTGGTTGCTTCATTTGTGATGGACCTTATCAAGCCGAAGACTGTCCGAAGTGGGAGAAGTTAAGTGCCGTAGTTGCTGAAGATGATAAGGCGGGGTCTAACTCAGATGGCCCTACTCAAGTCAACCCCTTGCAATTGTTAAATGTAATTCGTGCAGAGAGGACCCCTTTATTTGGTTTGATGTACATAAAGGTAGTTATGGATGGTATTGAAGTGTTTGCAATGGTTGACACTGCTATCATCCATAACTTTGTGTCTAAAAGCGTAATGCAGTCCCTAAAGTTGAAGATTATCCAGAATCTAAGCAAAATCAATACTGTGAATTCTACAGCCCAATCGGTGCATGGGATGGCTTAAGATGTGAAGGTAACAGTGGGTAAATGGACTAGACAATTGAACCTAATGGTAGTCCTATTAGATGACTTTGATGTTATTCTTGGGAACGACCTCTTTGTGGTTGCAAAAGTGGCACTGATGCCATATTTGGGTGGGTTGTTGATTTCGGATAAGAATCAACCTTGTTTTGTGTCAAGATCTACTCGACCAGACAAGAAAAATAGAGCAAAGAAGAAGGATGAGATGTTGTCAACCATACAAGTGCTTAATGGGCTAAGGAAATGCGAAGAGACATTCTTTGCAACATTGATTGAAATCAAGTCTGACCTTACTATTGAAGTGTTGAATGCAGTGGCTGATGTCTTGGCAGAGTTCATCGATGTAATGCCTTTAGAGTTGCTTAAATCTCTCCCTCATCAACGTGCCACTGGTCACAAAATTGAATTGGTGCCTGGCGCTAAGGCTCCTAAAAAGGCACCCTACCGAATGTCACCGTTAGAACTTGTTGAACTAAGAAAGTAATTGTCGAAGTTATTGGAAGCCGGTTTAATCTAGCCCTCCAAAGCCCCATACAGTGCCCTAGTGCTGCTCCAAAAAAAGTAAGAGGGATCGTTGCGGATTTGCGTAAATTATAGGGCCCTGAACAAGATGACTGTCAAAAATAAGTACCCTGTTCCTTTGGAGGTTGATCTGTTAGACCATCTTAACAAGGCCACTTTTCTTCACAAAGTTGGACCTTCGCTCGGGTTACTAGCAAGTTCGGGTTGTGGAAGAAGATAAGGCAAAGACCACTTGTGTAACTATATATGGTTCTTTTGAATTTTTAGTTATGCCTTTTGGTCTTACCAATGCTACTGCGACATTTTGTAATTTAATGAATGATGTCTTTAATGATTATGTTGATTGGTTTGTAGTTGTTTACTTGGATGATATTGTAATATATAGTGAAACATTACAAGACCATTTGACCTATCTCTGAAAAGTATTCTCCCGACTGTAGGAAAATAAACTCTATATAAAGAAGGAAGGGTGTGAGTTTGCTCAAAAAAAATTAAGTTTCTTGGGCATATTATTTGCCAAGGCCACGTCAAA